GTCTATTTCTCTGTCTCTTTTATAACGTTATATTAAAGTTATTTTATATGTATATATATATATATATATATATATATATATATATATATATATTCTTTTTTGTGGGGTGTTCAGGTGTATGACTGTATGATCTGAATAGTCACAGAGCATTTCCTGGAATAACTTTTAAAAGATGCGAGCAGCTGTATTGTGTTTGCGTCAGCCAGCATGTCTGGTGTCAAAATGGCTCTTCTTAGTGTCTGTGGCTAGATGGATCCAGGTGTTTTTTGGGTGATTTTCTGGAGTACAATATTATTATTAAGTACTACCAATAACAGAAAGATGACACCGGTATGATTACCACTGAGGTTTTGCAACATCAAACAACATACCAAATGACACTTTGGACAACTGGCAAACAGTACTCATCATTGATACACAACTACAGTCAGTTTTGTTTAGTACAGTTTTAGACATCTAAGCTGCTTAGGCTTGATTTTTATGATTTTTGTGTGTGTTGAGACATAGAACACACACATTCTTCCCACCTCCATAAAATGTTCATATTCATGCAGTGAAGTTTCTTTTTGGAAACACAGTAAACTTATAAATATTAAACCTGAAACTTTAAACTCCAGTCTCCTGTGCATGGCATCTAAAGGTTTTTCAAGGGAATGTCCAAACCTATGCCTGACTTCATCAAATTTCTACTCGGTGAGCACATGCCATTTCAGTTCGGTTCTTTTTTATCTGATAGTAATCATGTCTGTGTAAATTTATTTACAATTGTATGAATAATAGTGTAGTCAGTACAGCAACTGGCTACAGGCTTGACGACTGAAGGAGTCAGAGTTCAAGTCCTGGTAGGGTCAAGAATTCTCTCTTCTCCATGTCATCCAGACTGGCTGTGGGGTCCACCCAGCCTCCTATCCAATGAGTACCAGGGGCTCTTTCCCCAGGTGTAATGCGGCCGCAGCGTGAAGCTGACCACTCACCTCCAACTAGTGCCAAGGTCAAGATCTACACATCCACTCCCACATACACCTTCATGACATGGTGCTTAATTAGTTAAGCACACAGACAACTTTATCTTTTCTTATCTTTACCTTTTATGAACAGTGTGTTCTATTTAAAACCATAAGAGTCTCAATTTTATGCTGGAATCTTCTCCTTACTGTTCACATGAGTATTGTACAAGAACACTTGTTTCAATAAATAGCTCTCAGGTACCATTTTGGTATCTGATGCAACATCACTCACTGATGTCTAATACAGTGGTGGAGGGCTTGAGATTGTGGTCAATAGGCACATAAAACACATGCTCACTTCACAGTAGCTGCTGAAAAATTTATTTAAGGAACAAAGATAAACTGTAATGTAATACTGGAAAGTAACCGTAAAATGTATATGCTTTTGCCCTGTTAACTATGCCATAAGAACAAATACACATCATGCAAGTTGATGTAAGTAATGTATGTCCCTCCTGATGGCCGGACAGACCAAACAATTTCTGGCAGTCTCTTAAATAATCTTCCTGCCCACTGAGCAAACACATATACTACATATATTATTATACACACAGAAGTATGAAATTTAGATTATATTTATACCTACTATACATTCCGTAATCACATTTAAAACACTTTCTAGTGTATCTATTGACTTCTGTCCTTGCTAAGAACAGTGCTGAACTTTTGGGGTAACTCAATCCACGTGATGTGGGGAGATAACAGAATCTCATCTCGTGCCATTTCATCCAAGAATTTCACCTGGAGATATAAAAACCAAGTTTGGTATTCCATAATTTCACACATCATAATGTCTTCAAACAACATCACTCATTAAAACACTGAAGACAGGTATTCCACTACAATTACATAATATCACTATGTTGTATGTGCTGTCTAAAATTTTCAAATTTGTATGCAATGTCTGGTCAGTTCATTACTCTGTGAGCCATACAAAGAATAAGGAAAAAACCCTCCCTTTACAATGATAAAATAAGTAAAGTTTAAGTACATAGGATATAAAAGTTTGTAATGGTACATTAATGCAATAATCAATTTTTCAACATTATCCATCATCCTAATTTTTCTATGGTTTACAGATCATGTTGTGTTACTTCTCATGATCACAGACAGAGGCTAGCTCTATCAAATGGGCTCAACAGAAGAGAACTTTTACCTCATTCACCTACTGGAAAGTTGATCTACAAGAATAATGTTTGGTACACAGGTTTCTTACCTGTTTACGAATATAGTGAACAAGGCATTCAACATTTTCAGGGTCATTGCAATCTTGCTGAAGAAAAGTTCTCCATACAGCCCCAGCAAGCACTGTGTCCTTAGACAGCAATCCCTCATCATATGCTATTATTGCTGCTTGGAACTGCTGTGATAATTCATGAATCTGTGCTTTAACTGCCGGAGAATTTCCAGGCTGTATAAACATGAATCCATAAATCACACATTACCTTCATATACATCTTTCACTGAAGCTTCCCTTAGTTTAGTGTTCACATTCACTGTTCCTCAAAAAAATTTTAAATGAAGACTTCACTGCAACACATTGTTCAAATATAATTAAGTAAATGATCTAGAACCTGTCTTATAATACGGATTAGGGATGCTCACACAAGCACATAGAATGTCTCATTATTACACGCCACATGTTGTAGGATAGTTTCTGGATATCAAAACATCATCATCATCATCATCATCACTTATTATTAAAAATGTTCATATGAATATGTACCCCAAGTGCTTCCTTTAAAGATATATTTCACACCATGTCACACCTAATATGTTGCAGGTATGAAGAAAACAAACAAATGAACCATTAACAACATATTTATTTTCACTTTCTTACAAAAGGTGCTAGAAACAGCCTCCATATTCACAGGCACACAACTCAGCTGTGTGGAAAAAAATCTGCAATCATTCAAATATTCCAGATGTATTCTTTATTTCAATTATAAATTGTTGAATTAAATGCTACAGTTCCTCTCTAGTACTAACTATACAGGCATATACCTTGATTTTCATATATCACCACATAAAAAACTGAGAGGATTCAAGTCAGATTACTGTGAAGGTTAAGAAACTAGAGCTTCATTCCCACAACCAATTCAGCACCCTGGATAATTTTCAGACAACCATGACACACTTCATGACTTTATTGTGGTGAAGCACAACTGTACTGAAACCACATGTGAAGATGTACACTGAAGGACACATCTTCCATCAGTCCACTTAAGTGTGTCAATGAAAATTAAGTCAATCACAGCCACTAACTTGTACCAGGGAAATATAGGGATCTATGCGGCATCAAATGGATCTCTACGACCACACCATACAAATAAAATTATTGTATGAAAATGACAATGTCAAACAAGAGTGATTTCAACGTACTTTACACCTCTGTTGAAAGAAAAATAACAACAAAAACACGTACAGAAAGGAGTTCACACACGTGCACTGCATCACTTTCTGATTACCTGCAAATACATGCTGAGTGATTTAATTTAATCTGAGCATAAGTCTAGGTTGATTCAGGCCAAGCAATATCAGTAGAGGATGTTATGATTTATGCTCATATGAGGGGGGATATTCAGTTTTGTTTTCACCTCACAATGAACAAGGAAGTGTAAACTACTGGTTATCACTGAATAAATACGGTTCCATAAAATTTTGAACAGTATTTTTATATGAATCATATGTGAAATGCTGTTCTACTGCAAAGCCCAGAGAACATTTCACCAGACACAAAAGACATCCATAAACTTTTTAATAAAGTCAGTCCTACTAATAGGTTACTTTGAACAAGAACCCAAGTAAAACATGTAGTGTACCTATTGATACAGAGGTGGATGAAATAGGGCTACAGTGAAATATTCACATGTTACTGAAACATCTTGCTCATCAAGCTAGATACAACCATTAGCAGTAAAAGCAGCAATACTGCTTAAACTTCGGCCACATAAGACAAATATCTTTAAATTACGAAGGATTTCTTCACATCAACCCCAAATATTTTAAATGATATAGTGTGGGTCTATCTATAGGGACAGCATTTCAGTACCTCTTATAATGTATATTAAGATCCTCTAATACAGTTAAGCCAAAAACAGACTATCAAGTTAGACAATGACAGAAACATATATAGAAAGGCACACTATATTTTGAGTACACACCTCGAGTTTCTTTGCACGTGTACTGATGTCTTGCCACATGGCTTCAACTATGTTATTACGAACAAAACGTCCCTCCTCTCCTTCAGCCATTGTTCGTACCATTAACATCCATACATGAAGCTCAGTGACGAGGAACCAGGAATAAAAGGTATCTGCCATTTGGAATTCTAAGACAAAAATGGTTTCTATTAGCACACACTGGAATCAGATGCATGAGGAATGAAAGATAATGATAACTGCTCAAAGACTCTACCATCAGGCACATTCTCTCAGTTATTCAGTTCAAAATGTGAACACAATGATTTTAAATAATGACATTAATTTTTATCATCCAGCAGTATGGAATTATAAATCCTCTGGTACTGCACACCAGCCTACCTACCATCACATAACAAGCAGGCATAAAATACTTCCCTTACATTACTTCATGTGTATGCAATATACGAGGGTTGGAACTTTAATAGTGGCAACACTGCTGCAGAGACACCATGCAACAGAACCAAATAACGTTGCTTATACCACACGTTAGTTACATACCTACCTTACCTCAGAGCAAATGGACTCTCCCTTCCCACATCACATGCATGCGCAGTGATGACAAGAACAGAGCCTCGTGTTAGCTGGCGGTCTAATGTAGTGGTGTCATGTTTTCGAAACAGGAACAACGGAGTTGGATAAGATTGAATGTGCCAGAGGCTGTACAGCATGACAGTGTTATCAAGGTCTTCAACAGGCTTGTGGGGAATCTGCATTGCCTTACAAAACAGTGGCAAGGTGGGTAAAAGCCTTCAATGAGGGATGCCAAAATGTGGCAGCCGTGCGTCGGCCAGGTCATCCTAGTGTCAGTGAAGAAGAAGTGTATGCTCTTCCTGCGTTACCGGAGAGTGATCAACACCATACGATTTGTGTGCTGGCCCAAGAGACGGGATTAGTGCATATGATTGTGCTTCACATTCTGAAGGGACGCCTGGGCATGAGAAAAATTGCATCACAATGGGTTCCACATGATTTGATGGAAATGCAGAAATGGCTATGATATGATGCTGCTCGTAACCACTTGGAGCACTATGAGCACAAAGGAGAAGCTTTCTTATGCCGTATCATCACGCTGGATGAGACATGGGCAAAATCGTACAAGCCACAAATGAAATGCCAGTCGAACGAATGGCTTCATTAAGGGTCACCACGAAAATAAAAGTTCATCAGAACCCCAGCAATGTGAAAGTTAAGGTGATTCTCGTGTATGACTGTGATGGTGTTATCCTAACGCATACCATTACCTGACAGCAGACCGTCAATGCGCAGAATTACTGTTCATTTTTGGAACACAACCTGCAACCAGCTCTGAGAAAGAAGCAGTGACACTTTCTGCAGAACCCACCCATCATTTTTCAGGACAATGCTCGGCTGCATGCAGTGCAAGCTGTGGCTGATTTCTTCGATTGATGGGGCTGGGAAGTGCTGTACCATCCACCATACTCCCCGGACATAAGCCCTTGTGACTTCAACTTGATTCATAAGATGAAGGAACCACTTCATGGCACTCGCTTCAGAACTGTTCCAGAGATTCTTCAGGCAGCAGACCGCTCCATTCAAACCATCAACACAACAGGCGTTGCTAAAGGTATCCTAAAACTTCCACATCGCTGGCAATGGGTTGTACACAATGCTGGTGACTACACTGAAGGCCAGTAAAACTTTGAAACATGCATCTATTTTGTATCAATTGTAAATGAATAGTTGCCACTATTAAAGTTCCAACCCTCATATTATTTTCCATTCAACTATTCAGTGTCTGTGAGAACTAAAAGAAGCAGAAAGAATATTAAGGGATAAATTTAAAAAATTTACCCCGCTAGCCTAAATTCTTATCAGAGATGAGCAGGCAGATGAGTTATCTGCAGTCTTGCATATTAATAGCATTTTTAACAGATTTGTTCAATCATAATTTTTATTTATTATCCACTTATTATTATTATTGGAGGGGGTGGGTTTCCCCATGCACTACGACCAGTTGTTGATCCATTGTGCATCCCCCTTTAATTTCTACTGTCGCCATGCCCTTCCAGTACTGGTGCTCGCTATCAGCCCCGTTCTGCCAGAGAGGTCGGCCCTCTGGCAGTGGTCCCCGATACTTCCCCATCTACCGGAGGAATTGGAAACTATTTGGGCAGGAAACTTTGCCTAATTTTGCTCAGAGGTCTCCTAGAGACATGAGGATCTTTTACGTGACCCATGGCTTAAAGTCCCTCCCGGAGGACTTGTTCCCTGAATTCTTCCACCCTTAAAAATTCCACGACCTCCGCCGGGTTTGAACCCGTGTACCTTGAGTCATGAGGTGGGAACGTTACCCCTAGACTATGGAGGCCACTTATTATTATCCACTTAATATTAAATATATAATTTAGGCAACAACCGTTTTCATTATATATATATTCGTGCAATATAAAAATGTATAGGCTGCACAAAGCCCATGGGTAGGTGGTAACCACTGGTCTAATGATCTCAAAAAGTAAACATACTGGTAAAAAACTTTATATGATGGGAAAAGGTGATTAAATTTCATATTCACTTAAGAAATCCATATTCTTTTCTGTCAGAGTCAAAAGATTTCTTCAACAACTATCCTGAGAACGTACATGCACAGTACAAATCTATCTATGAGCAAATATACCCATTATTCACCCAGGATATGGTTTCTGTAGTTGTATCACAATATCTAGTATCCAAAGCTTTAAAGTAACAACACTCAGATCAAAGAATTACAAGTAGTTACTACAGGATTCTGACGATGGTGTATAACACACTGATATATTGGGTTTCTGGACTTTATCCATCGTCCTGGTTTTGTTATCTTAAAAACCAGGACGATGGATAAAGTCCAGAAACCCAATATATCAAAGAATTACAGTTTATTCATATCATTAAAAAAATTGAGAACAGGGTTTCAAATGACACCCAAAAATCTGCCTAACACTTGCACATCAACACAACAGCCACAACCACCCAACGTAAGACTTACACTTTTATATAAATTAGGTTCACTATACTGATCAGTTTTAATTAAAATAACATACAATATAATGAAACAAAGATAATAAAAGGAAATCATTCGGTATTAGGTAAAGATTCACTCTACAAACTTGATGGTTGCTAGTGCTGCATATGTGAAGGAAAAGGCAAATCTGACAACAAACCCCTATGGTCTCTCACTGTTCATACTGAGCAAGGCTGTTGTGGACAGATGAGCACAGAGAAGACCTAGACTGACAGATCAAAGCTTTATTGTAGAACATGCAAAAGAAACAATGAAATCTGCTTAGGTTTTAACTATTTACATTTTATGAGAGAAAGCAGCACAACTGTTAAAAACATGTATCTGCTTCTTGCATAACTACTGCTCAAAAAACTGTGATCACTGACATTTAACACGGCATACATATCATGGATGAAAATCAGTGCAACAGGACACTAAAATACAACATTTTGAAGACTATCGTTTGTACTGTACAATGTGAGATAGATAGTGTACAAAGTGTTGGAAAACCTGCTGCTGTTTTACATGCAAGGAAGAGAATCACTAAACTACATGGTGGGGAACAAGGAAGTGATACGAATGCTGCACATGTCTTGGTATGCAGTTTAGTAGTCACAGAGAAATGAACAGTGAATCATGTATTCACTGTGAGAACTTATTCTGAAAAATAGTCTACTGTGAAGATGCAAAGATGTTTTGGCATGACTCTGATGTCCCTAGGCATGGCAGAATTCCTTCATGTAATGCCATTCTAAAGTGGGTTGGCAATTTCAATGTTTATGTTAATGTAGTGAATAAGTCTGTTGGCCTGCATGTTCCATTAACACACCATAGAACAATGAAGGGCAGTAATGCAGCAGAGTCCAACATACTCGGCAAGGCAGCATGGGAGTGACTTATAAATGCCAAGCTCCTTTCAAAGAATTCTGTATGAAGATTTGAGGCTTCATCCATATAAAATTCACATAACCCACAAATTGAAAGAACAGGATAAAGCTCCTCATGCAAATTTCTGCAGACAATTCTTGGACTTTGTGGATAATGATGAAGGGGTTTCTGATGTGTTGATCATGTCAGATGAGACCCACTTCCACATGCCCATTTACAGGATTTTTGGTATTGGAACTATAACAATCACATTCAGGTTCACAAGAAACATCTCCATAGTCAAAAGGTAACTTGGTGTGTTCCCACATTTCATGTGATCAAGCCTTATTTCTTTGAAGAAAACAACCAGGCCATTACAGAGGATTCTGAGTGCTATACACTATGCTGCAAATATTTCTGGCTACAGAACAGTAAAGGATGAAGCAAAGGGTGAGAAATGGCATGGTTTCAACAGGATAGTGCAATGGACCACAAAACAATGCGAAGCATGACTTCTCTTACAAGAATGTTGCCAGGTCACTTAATTTCACAATTTGATAACATTCTTTGGCCACCAAGTTCCCTGGGAGGGTATCTCAAGTCTAAAGTGTATGCTATTTGTCCCCACTCAACCCAAGAACTGAAGGACTGCAATACAGAAAGAACTGGAATAATTTATGGTGTTTTTTTCAGCAGATTAAGCAGAATTTAAGAGATTATGGCAATGTATAAAATGTCATGGACATCATCTGAAACATGTAAGGCATGGATATTAAAGCACAATCATTATGCCTGTTATTCCATAAAATGTTGCACTTCATTTTTTTTTAGTTTAGTTTAGTTATTTAGAGAGGGTGGGTTTCTCCACGCATCGCGACCAGTTTGATCTATTGTGTTTCCCTCTATGATATTCTACCAGTCTCTATACCCTACCAATAAATGGTGCGTACCATCAGTCCCGCCGAGCAAGCGAGTTCGGCCACTTGCTTAGCGGTGTCTATAATACTTCACCCATCTATCAGAGGCCTTAGATACTATTGTTGGGCGGGAAACGTCCTGGAATTTGGCTCAGTGATCCCCTTTGGGGATATGAGGTTCTTTTACATGCCGTAAAGTTACGACACGGGACACACAGCTTAAAGTCCCTCCCGGAGGACTTGTTCCCTGAATTCTTCTGCCCTTAAAAATTCGACGACCTCCGCCGGGTATTTGAACCCGCGTACCACGAGTCATGAGGTGGGAACGTTACCTCTAGACTACGGA